GGCCCATTATATTTCATATGAAGCATAACAACATGTTCTATGGTCGTTTCTCAACAGGTCCTGAAAGTTTAAACAAAATCGTATCATATAATTTTGTGCAATGAACGAATGAAAATGTCTCTGCAAAAACGTCCATTGACTTAGCATGGGGAGCAAAAAAAGTTCAACTTCAAACTCGTGCAACTCAAGTTAACGAATTCTGACGGGTATACGGCGCACACGGGCGTGTACCTGAACGTGTCGGTCATAAAATGGTGTGCAGCAAACCATACCTTGATCGGCGATTTTTCCCGCTATTCGCGATCGCGCAAAAAGTGTCCAAAACCCCGTTGACTTAACATGGGAAAATGGAATCGCACGTGCCACGCGCAAAAGAATTCTGAGCGAGTAGCGACCGATGCCATCAGGTAGATCGCCTGCGGGAGCTCATACCCTGAACTTTTTACGAAGATTGAGCGATTCGTTTAGGCCCCAATCAAGTTGTACTGATTCGCTGCCAACCATGCAAAACATAGCCCGGAGAAGGACCGCTCCGGTTGTTTTTCAATAGAAAAACACAATTCTAACGAATAGTGTTTGTCTTTTCAAACAACCTGCGGTTACGCGGGACCGCAGGTTGTTTGAGCAAGCACCTCTGTAACGCCGCAAAAACGCCCGCCGCCAAACGAGAGGATGAGCCTTGCACGTGCAGCCCGGAGCGGGTGTGTCACGAACTGACGTGCACTGCACTCTACTAACCGGTCTCTAGCGGTTTGCCAAATTTGAGTGCAATCGACCCGGCCGTTTTCGAGATCTGGAAGTGACACCCTGCACGTGCGCACGTGCAACCTGGGTCCCAATTGACTTGTGCACGGCACTCTATTCGCCGGTTTCTAGCGATGTACCAAATTTAATCTGAATCGGCCCAGCCGTTTCCAAGATCGGGAAACGACCCCTACCCGTGCGCACGTGCAGCTGCACCCCAACCGTGGCACATGAAAATACATACTAACTGACTTGTGCACGGCACACTACTAACCAGTGTCTAGCGGTATGCCAATTTTGAGCACAGTCGGCCCAGCCGTTCTTGAGTTCTGGAAGCGTCAGCCTGCACGTGCGCACGTGCATAACGGGTCCCATCTGACTTGTGCACGGCACCCTACTAACCAGCCTCTAGCGGTGTGCCAAGTTTGATCACAATCGGCCCAGCCGTTCTCGAGATCTGGAAGCGTCACCCTGCCCGTGCGCACGTGCAGCGGCACCCCAACCGCGACACATGGAAATGCATTGCCGGGTGCGTGCCAACATCCATGCAAAGTACCAGCGCAATCGGCAAACTAACTACAGAGTTATTAGACTTGTTACTGAACTGACTTCTCATCGTTTTGCACGTGGCGCGTGCATTAGGGGTCACCCATACGCATCGAGAATAGCACACTACGTGTAAGAAAGGAAGAAGCTATCCCACACAAAAGACCGCGAGTGAATTGGTCAAGTAGTTGTGGAGATAGAAGCTTTGCAAGGCGCCCCCAAGGCGGCCGAATGCTAATATTTAGCAATAATCAGTGTCGCATCCGCACACGGGAGGTATCCCCGTCACCTGTTCGTATACTCTAATGTGGTTGGGTTCAAGTCACAGTCGAGCCCTGATTTTTTACAGCTTTTCTTAAAAACGGCACATCGTGCAGTGACGTCCAATGCATCAGTGGAAAGAGCATCAAAAGTTGTATATTATATTAACTTTTCACCTATATATTTTACGAAAGATAAAAGTTATAGAGAAATAAAGACTCTCCCATTGCCTTTCCATGTTAAAAATTTTAAATTTCAAATTAACTTTAAAAGAAAAAAATGAGTTTTGCCACCTTAACGAAGCATACCAGCAAGTACTATGCTCTTTCCTCTACAAGATATAAGAGTTTGGGCGAAATCTATCTCTAAAATTTTGTACAAAGATCGAATGAAAATGTCTCTGCAAAGTCTCGACATCGCCGTCCATTGACTTAACATGGGACACAGCAAAATTCCAACTTTGACCTCGTGCAAAGACACGTTCCGAGATTCTGAGGGGTATACAGCGCACACTAGCGTGTACCCAAACGTGTTTGCCATAAAATGCTGTGATGAAAACCACCCCTTTCTTGGCTCGTTTTTCCGCCATTCCCGATGGCGCAAAAAGTGTCCAAAACCCCGTTGACTTAACATGGGGAAAATGGAATCGCACGTGTCACGTGCCACGAGGTTTTAAGCGAGTAGCGACCGGTGCCATAAGGTAGATCGCCTCCGGGAGCCCATACACTGAACTTTTTACGAAGATTGTACATTTCGTCTAGGCCCCGCTCAAGATGTCTCGATTCGCGGCCAGACTTGCAAAACATAGCCCGGAGAACGACCGCTCCGGTTGTTTTTCAATAGAAAAACACAATTCTAACGAATAGTGTTTGTCTCTTTTCAAACAACCTGCGGTTACTGTAGAAACTTGCCATTTGTACCCTTGACCTGACCTTGACCTTGACCTCAAACTTTAAATTAAGTACATGTTTTTAGTAGTTCGTGATGAGAGCTTTCGATTGGCGTTTGAATTTTCCAAATCGGACCATTAGTTCGGGAGATAACAGGGGGGGTAAAATTTACCCCCCCCCCAGCCCCGCGCGTTCGGCTGGAGACCCCAGCCCCGCGCGGGTTAAGATAGTCAACTTGGGTTCCCTGCCTCGCAATAACTGGTTTGGGGACTCGCAACATCGAGGAATGCCTTGATTCGGAAATAGGTTATTTCTAAGTCTGCGGAACACGAATTTTAAGGGGCAAACTCATTCGAATCTAAGGGGCATTCAAATTCATTAGCCCCTTGGAATTCAGGTGCTTTTTAATTTTTAGACTTCTTGAGTTTCTGCAGTTTGCTGTCTTCAGTGTAGCGACCCTTGCTTGCAAGCTGGAGCTTTCTCTAGATGAAAGCCTGAAAGAAACCATCGCTATATTATAGCAAATGCAGAACAATATGACCTGGAGCAGAACACATTGTGCTTACTTCCATACATCACGCACTTATTCAGCAAATTTCTCTGATTCAATCTGCATTACTATCAGTTGAAAGACATACATTTCACTAAAAAATGACAAAAACGACCGAACACTGTTATCACCTACCATTTTCACGGAAGTGCGCAGGAGGCCACATCACTGCACGGCGGTTGGCGCGCAACTGAAACTTTCAAAATGAAACGGCCGGAAACGTTTTTGGCGCCACCTATATAACAAGTAACAGCTTTGTGTATGTTACTACTAACACGTCTAACTAGCGTAACTAAGTCCGTGTTGCAAAGGTGTAGCTGATACCTTCGACAAGGACATAGATTACATAAGTATGTATCAGTATTGTGGCAATGGTGTAGCTGGTTCTTTCGACAAGGATATAAATTACAAATCATAAGCAAATCTATGTTCCATATTACGAATAAGACCCTGGTAGTATTCACAATAGCCTCCATAATCCTCGTCATTTTTATGAATGGTCGACTAGGTGCTGGGGCTGATGCTTATATTTGCCCTGTTGATTCAACCAACTATGACAAGATATTCGTCGTTCGACATAACCTTTATTAGTATTTTTTACAAACGCTCGTCATTGTACGACAACCCCTTGTCAAAATGAGTTTACAGTGTGGGAGTTCGTTCTGGATGCTCGGCGGGGAAGTGCTCGCTGTGTGGGTGGAAGTGGTGCTCTGGCTGTGGTGTGGTGGTGGTGCACAATATAGCAAGTAAAATATCTTAACTGGTGTGGAGAGGAGCTGGACCAGTGGCAAAAGGGACGCGACAGTGAACAGCAGCGAGTCTTCTCAGCGTGCGAGTAGCCGATCATTTCCTTTCATCCGGGACTCATAACACGGCCTCTTCCGGGGTGTGTGAGGGAGGCGGCCACAGTGTCTCGCCAACGAGTCACTGAGCTTAAACTCGTTGCCCGGGTCTTGCCATCGAGGCTCGGGTGCGGGGTCTCCGCTCAGACAGGGGTGCGACCAGTCGGCTCCGGCTAACCTCGCCATCGAGGCGCCGGAGTATCGGTTGATCTGTCCGATTACAGTGGTCGCGCCTTCGAGAGGCTGGAATTGGGCAGCGGCTGGCGTCTTCCTCACCATCCTTATCTACCCATCGCTCTCCTACAGTCCTTGTCTATCATCCGGCTAAATAAGTGTCGTTGGCGTGTGAAATACCAGAGGACACGTGGCGACACCGACTGTCCCAGTTACCAAGCCTGCGTTGGGCAGAAGTGTGTCGACCCGTGCCCCGGATCCTGTGGCCAGAATGCCGATTGTCGGGTTCAAAGTCACAATCCAGTCTGCTCATGCCGCCTGGGTTTACGGGAAACGCATATGCCCTCTGCACTCCAATTCCTCGTAAGTAATTAACCTTATATGAAGCTAACAAATAACAATGCTATACTGTATTTGAAACAATGTGCAATTTCCTTTTTATGGAATTACATGTCGCCTACCGTTTCATCACAAATCCCTTAAGGAATGATATTATCGGGCTTGTCTCGTGACATCAACTCATCCATGGCATACACAAAACCATTGTTTCGCTTTCCAGAAACTCCGCCGCCGACAGCACCGGCAGTGGCCGACCCATGCTATCCGTCACCGTGTGGAGCCAACGTAGACTGCAGCGACAGGAATGGCGTCGCGGTATGCATTTGCCGTGACGAATACTTCGGGAACCCTTACGTCGGATGCAAACCAGAGTGTGTCCTGGACACGGATTGCCCACGGGACAAGAACTGTGACAACAATAAGTGCAGAAACCCGTGCCCAGGCCAGTGTGGCACAGGAGCAGAGTGTCACGTCGTCAACCGTATCATTATGTGCAGTTGTCCTGAGGGTCACACCGGAGATCCCTTCTCCTACTGCAGACTGGTGCCGCAGACGCCACCGCCATTTGAGCCTCAGTACACCAACCCCTGCGTGCCATCGCCTTGCGGCGAGAACGCCCAGTGCCGAGAGGCCAACAACGCAGCCGTGTGCTCTTGTGTGGCTGGTTACCATGGCGACCCCACCATCGGATGCCGACCAGAGTGTGTCTCCAACGCCGAGTGCGCCCCGGCCCTGGCATGCATCAACCAGAAATGCAAGGACCCATGTGTTGGTCTATGTGGTGTTAGCGCGCGTTGTCGCGTTCTCAACCACAACCCCAGGTGCAACTGTCTGCCAGGATATGAGGGCGATCCTTACAGACGCTGCGTGGTTACCAGACGTAAGATATGTTTACTTCGTTATGTATATATGCATATTTTCAGAGCCTTTTTATATGCATGCTTTTTCGAAAACTGCATGATAGCATGACTTTTTGCACTTTACCGAATGATGAGCATGACATTGCATTACCCCCGAATGCATCGCATGTCTGTTTAAGTGCTCAAGCATGTTCCTCTCCTCCTTTTAGCCGAACAACCTCGCCCTGGAAACCCGTGCCAGCCGAGCCCGTGCGGCCCGAACGCGGAGTGCCGGGAGCTGAACGGCGGAGCCGCCTGCTCCTGTCTGGAGGGATACAAGGGTGCTCCACCAGCCTGTCGACCAGAATGTGTTCTGAACACGGACTGTGCCGAGCACCTGGCTTGCATCGGACAGAAGTGTGTGGATCCATGCAGGGACGAATGTGGTCAAGGTGCTAAATGCACCGTGGTCAACCACAACCCTGTTTGCCGCTGCGAGGCAGGCCTCGTGGGCGATCCATACAGTTTCTGCAGAGCAGTGCCAACAAGTGAGTTATAATTGGGAGACGATTGCTAGTGCTAAATACCGACTATGGACAAATTACAGCAATGTGCAAGGCATCAGGAAATTACCGACTCAGCCAGCCGAATTCCGCATGATTACGTATATCGATGCTCTGGTCTACATACTGGAGATAGCCGGTGGTTTACTATGAATGGATGAATATTATCCCAACTGAACTATTCTTTTCTAAGACAACACTTTCAATACACAAAAAAAAATGCATCAAAGCTTCAAAATGTAGGTACCTATAACGCAATCCTTACGTATATTTATACCTAAAAAGCAGCAAAACAGAGAAAGCATTGTGGTTGAAAAAGCGGCAAAGGAAACAACGTTGAATGATTTTCGCATACTTCTTATTTATCATAAAACAATTATTCATCATAAAATAAACTGTTTACCAAACCTATTAACAACTTGAGAAGGCCAATTAAATGGTTAACAGAAGCAGCGCGTCCCAACCCAAGCACGCGTAAGCCGTAAGGTAAGCAATGACAGCAATATTATTGCCTACAATTGTTTGTGTAAAGTGCCATTTTATATAATGCTGTATCGCAATGCGACGTATTGCGAGTTTTGATATAACCTCTGTCTTTCAGCCACTCCAAGACCTGAACAACCACAAAACCCGTGCTACCCTGGCAAGTGCGGCCCGAACGCCCAGTGCCGTGTGCACAATGACATCGGCGTGTGCAGCTGTCTACCAGAGTACTTCGGCAACCCGTATGAGGGATGCAAGCCGGAGTGCTTGGTAGATTCCGAGTGTGATCGTTCCAAGGCCTGTGAGCGCAACAAGTGCGTGGACCCGTGCCCTGGCGTCTGCGGATTCCGGGCCGAGTGTCGGGTGCAAAACCACATGGCGATATGCTTCTGCCTGGAAGGATATAGGGGCGATCCATTCACTGCCTGCACACCGATACCAGTCACACGTAAGACAAAGTCATTTGAATGGTTCACGCATAGTAATCGAGAACACATTTTAGATATACTATACAGTATGCATGCATATTTTTTTAACTACCTGCTGCGAGTTATCTGGAGAAAGTTGTATACATGTATTTAAAAGAGACATCGATTAGTAATCAATGGTTTCTGCTTCCATTCACAGCACAACCATCTGCCCCGGTTGAGACAGATCCGTGCAATCCAACGCCATGCAGAGCAAACGCTGACTGCATTGAGAAGAACGGTGTTGCCACGTGCAAATGTCGCCCAGGATGCCCCAAGGGAGACCCTTTCAGTGGTTGCCGACCCGAGTGCATCACCAGTGCCGACTGCGCGCAAACGAAAGCTTGCGGCACTCAGCAAAAATGCATTGATCCATGCCCAGGTCTTTGCGGCTCGAACGCCCTGTGTCAAACCATCAACCACCAGCCGATCTGCCGCTGCAACAGCGGCTACACGGGAGATCCTTATCGTGTGTGCACCAAAGAAATTCGTAAGTATCAGTATTGCATAGACTCGAGACTGTTCAACTGCACATCTCTGTATTGTAACGATAAAATATGCAGTGCAGATGAGCACCGTAAATTTCCACGCAATGTCGTGTTCTCTCATATACTTGATTATTTTGAGAGGATATAGTGCGTTTCAGCATATTAATGAATTAGTTTAATCATACATTATCAACCAAAAAGCCCTCGAAGAATGAGCATAAAGTTATTATTCCATAAGGTTATTATACTGTTTTAAGGAAATAGTGCAATACGTTTTTACAACAACAAAATACGAGGCACGAAGACATAACGCCGCTTACACGTTCACAACTTGTTTCAGCCCGCGAGCCGGTGAGCCCGTGCTTCCCGAGCCCATGCGGCCCGTACTCTGAATGCCGTGTCTTGAACGGAGGTGCAGCATGCTCTTGCAAGCCGACGTACATCGGAGCACCACCACAGTGCCGACCTGAGTGCGTTGTGAACTCAGAATGTTCCAACCACCTGGCCTGCATTCAAGAGAAGTGCGTCGACCCGTGCCCGGGCAAGTGCGGGCTTAATGCACAGTGTTCCGTGCGCAACCACAACCCGAAGTGCTCATGTCTTCCAGGATACACCGGAGATCCGTACTCTCGATGTGTTCGGGAAATACGTGAGTACAAATTACCTATTCATGTTATTAATTTTGATGCATACCTTTTGCATGTATTCCATAGCACTATATGCAGTGAAAAAGACAACACCGGATCATAAAAAGCATAGACTTAACGATGCTTTCTTTTCCTTTCAGAAACGACCCCGAGACCGCCGACTGCTGAGGTTGATCCGTGCTACCCATCACCATGTGGTGCCAACGCGGATTGCACGAACAGAGATGGTCTTGGCGTATGCAAGTGTCGACCAGAGTTCTTCGGCAATCCATACGAAGGATGCAGACCGGAATGTGTTCTGGACACCGACTGTCAACTGGACAAGAACTGTGAAGCAAACAAGTGCATCGATCCTTGTCCTGGACGCTGTGGATCCGGCGCCGAGTGTCTCGTCGCTAACCACGTCATCATCTGTCTGTGTCCGGCCGGCTACACGGGAGATCCGTTCTCATACTGTAGATCGATCCCTGACGATCCTCCACGCCCAGAGCCGCCATCGAACCCGTGCTTCCCGAATCCGTGCGGACCGAACGCCCAGTGCCGTGAGGCGAACGGCGTGGCAGTCTGCGTCTGTCTGCCCGAGTACCGTGGTGATCCCACGACGGGCTGCAGACCTGAATGTGTATCGCCGGCCGAATGCTCATCGGATAAGACATGCGTCAACCGTAAATGTGTTGACCCGTGCCCCGGGGTGTGTGGACAGAACGCACAATGCCGTGCTATAAACCACAACCCGGTGTGCGACTGTCTGCCAGGCTTTGTCGGTGACCCGTACCGCCGTTGCACGCTGGAGGTGGTCACTCAGCCAGTCAAGGATGACCCGTGCTCACCGAACCCATGCGGACCGAACTCTATCTGCCGTGTGATCGGCGACAAGGCAGCCTGCAGCTGCGAACAGGGCTACAAGGGATCGCCTCCAAACTGTCGCCCTGAGTGCGTCACCAACCCAGAATGTTCGGCCGATAAGGCGTGCTACGGACAAAAGTGCGTGGATCCCTGTCCGGGCCAGTGCGGAACGAATGCCAACTGTCTCGTGCAGAACCACAACCCAGTCTGCAACTGCCAGGCGGGATACACTGGAGACCCATATCGGTTCTGCTAGCCCATTCCGCAAAGTAAGTTCAGAAATAAGATGAATTAGACATTACATGTTATCTAGACGAAGACAGTGTAAATATGAAAAAGATATCCATTATGAATATGATATTAACTTTTTTATGACTTAAAATCTTATCGTCAATTTGCCTTGTCCTTACATCAACTTCTGTTTCAGCCACTCCGAGACCCCAGGCACCACAAAACCCGTGCTACCCTGGCAAGTGCGGCCCGAACGCCCAGTGCCGTGTGCACAATGACATCGGCGTGTGCAGCTGTCTACCAGAGTACTTCGGCAACCCATATGAGGGATGCAAGCCGGAATGTGTGGTCAACAGTGACTGCGTCAAGTCCAAGGGCTGTGAAAGGAACAAGTGCGTTGACCCTTGTCCTGGCGTCTGCGGCTTCCGCGCCGAGTGCCGAGTGCAAGATCACTTCGCTTTGTGCTACTGCCCTGACGGCTATCAAGGAGACCCATTCACTGTCTGCACCCCTGTTCCGGCGACTCAGCCACCAAGGGAACCGGTAAAGACCGATCCCTGCTACCCGTCCCCGTGCGGTCCCAACGCCGAGTGCATTGCAAAGGACGATGATGACGATGGACAGGCTGTGACAGTTTGCAAGTGTCGTCCGGGTTTCCCCAAGGGGGATCCCGTAACCGGCTGTCGCCCGGAGTGCACCACCAACGCCGACTGTTCCCAGTCAGAGGCGTGTGGCTCTCAGCAGAAATGCGTTGATCCTTGTCCCGGTGTGTGCGGCACGAACGCCCTGTGCACAGTGTTCAATCACAACCCAATATGCAACTGCAAGCAGGGATACCAAGGCAATGCATACGGATACTGCTCACCAATTCCACGTAAGTTCTTTGCTTTGACTTCCTACCATTTGCTGTTGATTTATATCAACCTCTTTTGCTTAAAATGGAAATAATGTTTTTGTAAGCTTTCCAAAAAAAATTAAAATAAGCTCTATGCGTTTCACTAGAAGTAGCTTACTAAACTGTTAGCATCATAGGTGCTCACCGTGACAACAATACCAACAGACTACGTATCGTACTGGTCTCTGACTACTGCTTTCTATTTTCACAGAGGAAACACCGAAACAGGGCTGCTTCCCGAACCCATGCGGGCCCAACTCGCAGTGCCAGGAGGTAAATGGTCGTCCGACATGCTCGTGTCTGCCGGAGTACCTGGGAGCACCGCCCAACTGCCGGCCAGAGTGTGTGGTCAACACCGACTGTCCGAGTTACCAAGCCTGCGTCGGAGAGAAGTGCGTCGACCCGTGCCCAGGATCATGTGGTCAGAATGCCGACTGTAGGGTCCAAAGTCATAGCCCAGTCTGTTCCTGTCTGCCTGGGTTCACCGGCGACGCATACGCTCTCTGCACTCCCATTCCTCGTATGTACTTGTTGATTTATGGATTAAAGTAAGTCTTGCGTCGAATCATATTCTATTAACCCTCGCCCGCACATGCCATTTTCCCATCCTAGAACGCACATGGGGGGGGGGGGGGGTGGTTGCCACCCCCCCGCGCCATTTCGTTCCTGTTGGAGATAGAGCTTAGCGGTAAAGACCAAAAAGATTCTTTGGGAAGAGACGAATCCAATGATACCCAGTTTTACCTTCTCAGGTCAGTCATTGACCTTCCAGGTCAGGTCAAACTAAAAAATGTTGCTGTTTTGGGTCACCGTTGGATATCAAGTGTGCTGCTTATCAAATACCGATGACGATGCTGCGTCGAATCATATTCTATTAACCTGCCAAGCCAGTTTTCTGGTGCCAAGCCAGCTAGAACCTCTTTGTCACACTACCCGACCAGAATTTTGCTGCTGAGGTCATTTCAGGTCAAGTTAGGTCAAGGTCAGTTATATGTGTTTGTATGTCTGTGTGTGTCTGTGTGTATACTGATGTGCAGGGGCGGATCCAGAAAATCTCCAAGGGAGGGGCCATTAGAAACCAGGAGGCCCCCCCATAATCCCACCTGTTGGAGGCCCCATCTTCCCACTTGTTGGGCCCCCCCCAAAAAAAAACTGCGTCTATTGAGCTTATCTAGCTGTTCAGGCAACATCTCAACATCTGTGCAGGCTTGGAGGCCCTCTGTGCAGGTTAGGAGGCCCTGTAAAAGTGGTCATCTCTGTGAGTATAAGAGACCTCCAAGTTATGAAAAGCTTTACCAATCTTCTAACAAAGAAGTCTTCTCAGCTAGTCTTCTAAGAAATAACTAAATGGGTAGGTTAAAAAAAAACTCATCGGATTTCGGCCACTTTATTTTCAGGAGGCCCCCTTTTCAGCTTTTTAACTTTTTAACTTTTTATTTTATTTTTGAAAAAAATCGGCCAAGGGGGGGCCATGGCCCCCATGGCCCCCCCCCCCTTGTATCCGCGCCTGCTGATGTGTGCACCGATTGTTTTTGGGTCCATATTACATGAAATCATGATCTGAGAAGCTTTTACCAAAAATGCAGTCAAAAAACTTCAAAAAAGTAAATTCAGCTTGCCTAAAACGCAATTATCTTAGATGACCTAAGTTGACCTTGACCCTGACCTTGACCCCTGTACATCGTCGAACAACATGTTCCATGATAGGTGGGAGGTAAGACTGGCAAAAAAGGCCGAAATCAGGGTGTCAAAAGCTCATAAGGCCCATGGCAAACGCAATATGTTGAGAATTGGCCATTTGGGTCATGACATGACCTGACAAACAAGGTCATATCTCCGAAACCAAAAATCACAGAAACTTGGACATCAAGAAAGGATAGAGGAGCAGCTATACGAAAAATCAGCCTTCTAGCTCTAAAAATGTTGAGTGCAGAGCAGAAAGACTACCTGGGGGGGTGGCAACCACCCCCCCCCCCCATGTGCGGGCGAGGGTTAAAGGCTGAACTATACCTACGTACCACGATATTTATTTAAAAGAGTTATGGCTCGATTGATTGTCAGAATATTAAAAACATAATTGATAATTTCCTTTCCTTTCCAGAAACTCCGACCCCTACAGCACTGGCAGTGGCCGACCTATGCAATCCGTCACCTTGTGGACCTAACGCAGATTGCAGCGACAAGAATGGCGTCGCGGTATGCATTTGCCGTGACGAATACTTCGGGAACCCTTACGTCGGATGCAAACCAGAGTGTGTCCTGGACACGGATTGCCCACGGGACAAGAACTGTGACAACAACAAGTGCAGAAACCAGTTGGGGAAACTACGAGGAGCCAAACAAAAATTGGATTAGCCAATCAGCGGCTGGAGTGGGCGGGGCGATGACCATATATGGTCATAAAATCAGACAACTTCATCTTTTCAATGAATTTTAGCATTCAAATGAAAAAATAAGGCATAAGAATGTTTTTTAACCACACAAGGCCTACACTCACCCGGTGCATAATTAACTGGCGGCTCTAAATCGCAGAGTTACAACGCAAGGTCAAACCGTGATTGGCAAATATGGCGGATTGAAACACGCGCCAAAAAATGTAAGCAGTACCGTGGTTTAAAAATGTCATTATTTTTATTATTTTGTTTATGGTTTTTCTAATTGTAGTTAAGTTATTATTTTAGAATTAAATATTTTTGATTATTGTAATTAAATTAAATCTTTTAACAATTTTCTTTCATAAAACCAATCCATTTATTGAATGGCCAGCTGATTGCGACGCCCAGAACCTGCAGAAAAGCCGTTTTCCTACCGCCATTTTCGAGTCAATTCGCCGAATTTAATCAAATCACACCAATTCCTAGTGAAAAATGGAAGCCTTTTCTCTCCAATAAGTGGACGCGATACCGCAAGTACCGGCTTGTTATACCGTTTTTCAGCCTTAGTAGCGGGGGCTGCATTTATGTCCATATATGGTCATCAAAAGTCCATTTATTGACCAATCCATTTTTTGACGTTCGCCTCGTAGTTTCCCCAACTGAAACCCGTGCCCAGGCCAGTGTGGCACAGGAGCAGAGTGTCGCGTCGTCAACCGTATCATTATGTGCAGTTGTCCTGAGGGCCACACCGGAGATCCATTCTCCTACTGCAGACTGGTGCCACAAACGCCACCGCCATTTTGAACCCCAGTAGGTACACAACAAAACCCTGCTTGCCAACGCCTTGCGGCGAGAACGTAAGTGCCGAGAGGCCAACCAAGATTCTTACAGATGGGCCAACAACGCAAGTGTGTGTGCTCTTGTTTGGCTGGTTACCATGGCGGCCCCACCATTGGATGTCTCCCGGAGTGGAGTGGCTCCAACGCCGAGTGCGTCTTGGTTCATTTGATGGTACTCGTCTTCAAACAATAAACTTAAAACTTAACGGAAGCGCATGTGTGCTAACATGTACTTACCTATAACTAGAAATATGATGCTGATGCTGAAATATAATAATAAAATTAATAAAATAGTTGTCTCATTTACTTCCCTCATTAATTCACGCCCGCTGGGCTGTTAAGCCGAACGCGACCTGCTGGAGAGGGGGGGGGGGCACCAAAACTACTTAGTAAATATGTAAATGGGTGCCAAATTCGAAATCACCTAAAAAAGTATCCTAGAAACAAGTAAAACACCAAAAGTGAGCTGAGGTCATCGAAGGCCAATGACCTTGACCTGATCTTCACGTGACCTTGACACCCGCCATAATGCATGATACCAACAACTTACAACATTTCACATGTTTGAACGCTTGAAACCACGAAAAGATGGAAACGCGCGCCGAAATGTGAGTCAACATACGCTGAATCGTGCCTTCGGTCACACATGGTCTCGAGAAACAGGTCACAGTTCAAAGGTCTCTTGGGTCAGGGTTATGAAATTTTCAGAGTAGGTGTAAAATTGATCAACTCGAGGATACTGGAAGTTTCGTCGCGATCGGCCGCTTTTTGCGCGAGTTATTCACGAAAAGCCATGGGAGGGGGTCAATTAGAGCCCCACCCCTACACATGCGAGGGTTAATGACACTCAGGTCGAGGTCACTGGTCAGGCCCACAAGCCGCTGGGGGGGGGGGCATAAAGTTGCCCCCCCTTTACGTTTTGTGAAATATATCCGAAACCTGATGAGCTACGAACGTGAAACTTGGCATAGCTTCAAATGAATACCTAGGCAATGTTTGAGGAAAGTTTGGTGGTTGTAGCACCTAAGATGACGTCACAGTGACGTCATAAAGTTTTGTCGTTTTCCGATATGGACCGTTTCTGATGACGCTGAGCATGAAACTCGACTGTAAATGAACTAGACAGCACCTGCTGTCATCCTAAAACATCTTACTACACTTCCATCTAGTTTCTGACCAATAATCGGCCCTTTATATTCAGTCCCATATATGTGATGTATCGTGAGGAATATGAGAGTCGCAAATCTATAATTTCACTTATGACGTCACTGTGACGTCATTTCAAAT